TCACTTTCTTTCTTACTCTCCAGCTCCATTACTGTATTACGATGCAAAATAACTGCAGTATGGGTGCTTCAACAGAAAAACACTTTGAATGTGTCCCAGTCTGCTTGTTGATCTTTGCACAGATTTAACAGTCTTGTGCATTGGTAGGCAACCTGCGGCTCCAGAGCCACATGGAGCTCTTGCTCCTCTCCAGTGGCTTCCTCTGGCTTTAACAAAAAGTTATACGCAAATTAATAACGTTTTTTTAAGACTGTAATTTTCATTTATCAGTGTTGTAGGCCTAAAGTGACTCTCATTTCTTCATTTAGAAAAATGTGTAGCTTTTACACTGGATAAATGCTCAAAATTTTCATGAACCTCAGTCTAGGCTAGCTATGGATTCCAAACCCAGAAAACAGCATTTAATGGTGTGTGCACCGATTTGTTTGCTTTTACTGCAAAGCTACAACGTTAAAGCACCAAATAATCATAAATAGCCCGGTGTAGAGCCACTTTGTGGTGAAACCAGTGGTGTATGGGCCCCAGTGCACACTACTGTGCATGTGTTGTCTTGACAGAAATAGATCCTTGACATCAGACATCAACATACACATTACCCAGCAGTCACCACTGCACATTCAACAAAAACATCAAAGAAAATTAATCATTTAATGGAATAGTTTTATTGTTTATTTTAGGGCTGCAACATTAGTTGACTAATTGATGACTAATCGACTATTAAAATAATTGGTGACTATTTTAGTAGTCGACTAATCGGTTTGAGTCATTTTTCATAGAAAAGTACTATAAAAGTACCCCAAAATACTCTTATTGCAGCTTCTTCTGTTCAAATACTGGCAGCTTTACACACTCTCCCGTGACAGTGAACTAAAACCCTTTGGTGTGAGTACGAAACAAGACTTTAGATGACGTAATTTTGGGGACTGGGAGAGACACACCGACATTTTTCAACATTTTAACACATTTTTCAATAAAATGATTCGTTGACTAATCGTAGAAATAATCAACAGATTAGTCGACAATGAAAATAGTTAGTTGCAGCCCTAGTTTATTTATAGATGTTATAGCTTATGTAGAAAAGACATGTTTTAGATAAATACTGACTATTTAAAATAAATAAATAAAGTAAACCATAATGTAGATGGTTTGTCTTTTTGAGGACATATATAGCAAATGGCATCATTTTTACATTCAGAATGTCCCTTTCTTTTAATCTTTCCTCTTTGAACACAGATGTACGTTCAAGTCAGCAATCTGAATCATTGCAGGGGCCCGCTCTTTCTACAGGCCCCTCCACTTCTTGAGCCCCAGTGCAACCGCACTGCCTGCACTGTCTATATTTATGCCCCTGGGTAAAGCATATTATCAAATGTTCATTTAGATCTATTAGTAATTTTGATAGTTTTTGTGCCTTTCTGGCCAGAAATGGCTCTTAAAGTAAGAAAGATTGCCAACCCCTGGTCTAGTATGTGAGTTTTAGTGGCATTTAGTGGCGCGGTGAGGCTGCAGAGTTGTGCCAAGCATGTGAAGCAGAACTACGGTGGCCGATGCGAAAACGGCTCAGCGCTCTAGGCTACTGTAGAAACAAAATGGCGGACATAGTGGCTCATTCCAAGGTAAGACAGCTCAGAGATTCTTAGTTTTCGGTGATTATATACTAAAGACAACAGACTTGTTGTATTATATTAAATTTTTACCAATATATCCCCTAAAATATTCCACACTGGACCTCTGACATACTGTAGAAATTCTACTACAGAGCTCCTCAGTGTCTAATGAGAGTCTGCTGTCATGCTAGCAGTGCTTTTAGCTAAATGCTAACGCTAGCACAAGAAAACTATAAACTCTACCTATATTTTTAGGTTCTTTGCGCTAGCATAGCAACACGTCATAATGCTAACAGTCTAATGTTGAGCAGGTAAAATGCTTAACCCTATGGGCCCCTGAAGGAAGCATAACGTTAGTGCGTCCAAATTCACACCTGTTCTTCTCTATTGATTTTCTCCGAGACCATGGGTCATAGTGAGAAGCCATGCATATCACGTGAAACAGCGGAATTGAAGCTTCCCGACATGGCCAAGCACTTGTCGGTAGTCCAATGTTTTCACAGCAAAAAAAGATAATATTACACTAAAAGATGTATAACAGAGCTTTCATAGAGCTCTGCACACACATTACTGTTGGATGGATTACTCGCGAACGCAGCATCACACAGAAATGTCACGCATATCACATGAAAGCGCAGGAACAGAGCTTTCCAGTGATACCACACACTGTCATCCCATCACGCTATAACTCCAGATTAAATAAAAACCTGCCGAATCTCTTTACAATCCATTATACAGATCTTGTTATCAGTCACTTCATATAGTGAGGAATATCGTATCTTACCACGTCTTAGGCTTGCGTGTGTTTCTCCCTGTCTATCCACATTTGTAGTCCAGCTTTCAAGATGCAAATATCTCCATATTGTCCAGTTGACACTCCATCAAACTTTGTATGACAAGACCAGCGCACTTCACCTTTGCGCACCCAGACAACTGCAGCCTAATTATGCATGCATGACAGGGCCGTAGTCACCATATACATTGAGGGGGACACGTGTTCCCTTCCCAATGCCCAAAATGCCCCCCAATATATAACTGAAACTGAAAAAAAACAACAAACTTTGTTTACTGCAAACAAAGTGGCAAATATTATCTTGGAGGACATCATTGCACTTGGTTGACTATTTTTCTATGATCTTAGATGTAAATATTGCATGTTTCTTTCAGATAAAACACATTTTTGACTTGTGAATGAGTCAATGGAATTTCTTGCAATAATGAAAAAATACTGGCAATCATGTCCGCCTGGCACAAACCACATGTTTTGGACAGCTGTGAAGTGACAGAATGTCCCAGCATCATGGTTCTTATATTGCCAGATTCCAGAGAGTCTCCCCTCTTCATATATGGCAGAATATGTCAACTTCCAACTTGCTATGGTGAGATACATGTAAAAATGTAAGAATTTAGTCACTCAGATTTGTTTTTTTTTATTGATATAAAAATTATTATAAAATACAGGCATTTTGAAGGACATGTTATGATGGCAAATCTGGATAGCCCAGATTGTCCTGAAAAAAACAAGATATAGCATGTGTATGTAGCCTTTATAATGACTGTGATATGAGCTTAAAAGTAAAGGCAGTAAAAATACCCCTAAAAACGCCTAGGGCCCATAGGGTTAACATGTTCACCATCTTAGCTCAGTGTGTTAGCATGCTAACATATGTCTTTTGCAGTAAACACTCAGCGCAGCTTTTGCAGGCATTGTTAGCAGGTATGGACAAATAATGTCACCAGGGCAGAAATTAAGTTTTACGTGAAAACTTTAATGTGTCACTCAAATTACAAGGTATTCTGTCCAACAGCTGTTGAGGCTATTTACTCAAAGTCACAAATGTGAAGCTCAAAAGTCAAGAGATCACCAAAGTCAGAGGGCTTCATACTCGTAGATGAATGTCTGCTCAAAGTTTCATGACAATCAGTGCAATAGTTGTTGAAATATTTCAGTCTGGATCAAAGCAGGGGACAGACAGACTGACATTAACATCATTAGAGGGCTAACATGCCTGAAACGGCAACGTCAGTGGAAGAAAATGTCATTTTAAATAGACAATAAAATCCATGAATCTCAGTTACTTCCCTTCAGGATGAAAAACTTTTAATGAATAAAACAATGTTTTAATAAATACAAACAAATATGGAAGGTATTAAATAATAAATAAATTAAAAATAAGTAAATACAGAGGTTAGGATCTTATTCATCCTTTACATACAGACACAGAAATGCATAAATTAATAATGTCGTCGTACAAAAATGTAGAAAAAATTAAGATAAAAGTTAAATTAAAAATAAGAAAAATTCTGTAGCCTGCTATTTAATTATCAGTTTTTTTTATTCATTCCTTCATCTGTTTATTTCCATATTTATTCCAATAATTATTTATTCTTTTACTTATTTATTTCCGTATTGATTAATGCATTTCTGTATTTATTTGTTCATTTCTGGATTTAATTATTCATTTTTAATTTGTTGATAAGCCTTTTTATTTCTTTATTTCTGTATTGATTAATGCATTTCTATATTTATTTGTTTGTTTTTTTATTTTTCTATAGCCTTTTTACATATTTATTTAATCCTGTTTTATTTATGAATTTATTTATTTCCATATTTATTTATTCCTGTATTTATTTATTTTATTATTGACACTTAAGTCATTTTTTGTTCTACATAACAGGCAACTTTTGCATTAAATAGGAAAAATCTAAACTCGCAGTGTCTTTGATTGAAACCGTCACATTTCCAAATAAACCCTTAATTTCTTTTGTGTGGTGAAACCGTTCCGGCCACATCAGCAGCAAAACACACACTTTATGACGCCATTAGAGGACAACCTCTCTCTGACACCTGACTCACACTTTTCATGGATCTGGTTTGACGATTAAGGCTGGGACAAACCGCAGCGTGTTAGGGCCACTGAGTTTAATAAAAAAAAAAGTTGCGTGTTTGGTATTTCGAGCACAAACAAAGATGGAGTTATTCATGTGATCATCAGATCTGCAGTATGATGATAATAAAGTCGTGTATTTACAGCGCTGTAGACTAAACATGCATGCAGCACAGTAGCAACAAACACTTTGTATAAATCTGTGATTAAGTGACCTCAGAGACAGCAGAAGTAACGTTACCTTGAGTTACGGTTACCTCAGCCTCACGCTGTCAAAAGAAAGGCTCTTTTCAGGAGGAAGAAAGCTTTCTGATTGAGCGTTGGATTCGGCCTTAATTGAAACCTTATGTGTGGCATGTGGAATTCTGGGACTTTGGCTCGCTCCCAAGAATCCACAGAATGTGAAGGTCTTTTTCTTCCTGCCTGCCCCTCTCTTCCTCTCTCTCTCTCTCTCTCTCTCTCTCTCTCTCCTCTCTCCCTATCTTTTTTTCCTATGTGCAGGGGTGTCTTACATCAGCCCAGCGAGCCCTGGTGAAGGCGACTGAGAGCCAGCGAGCGAGAGAGAGAGAGAGAGAGAGAGAGAGAGAGAAGGGCTCGGATTGTAGCGTCCAGCCGTCTTGACTCTCACTGGAATAATCTAAAACCATCTCTGAACAAATGGTCTGAAAGGATAAGACGTCTCAGAAGTAAGTCATCCTTTTCTGTTAAACTTTTTGCCGTGTCTCTCGTCCTGCTTTGTGTCATTGTTTGGTCTGTAAAAATGGGACCTCGCACTCTGTCCACCTTTCTGTAAGCCTGCATGAGAGTACCTTAAAGTTTCCTTAAAGTATTTCACACTGGGAGCGTTGGCTGCATGTTTGAACTCCATGTACCTTTTGTGTGGAGTAGCTGCTGTTTGCATGGCAGACTAGAAGAGTGGACAGCAGAGCAGAGCAGAGCAGAGCAGAGCGATGCCAGATTCAAACTCCTCTCTGCTCTGCTGCAGATCCAGCTGTTTCAAACTGAACTCATTATAAGCCTTGCTGTGGCTGGATGTGATTAAATCCTTTTCTTTTATTTAAACATGTTATCACTTCAGATAATCAGGGTTTAGGGAAAGAATATGAACGAAGGAAGTTTTCTAGATGTTATCAAAACTCCAACAGAAGCTCTTCAACCTTCAAACAAGATCTTCTTTTCTGTTCTACAGATGCATAAAGTCGAGCGCCCTCCTCACTAAGTTCACACAGTAGACACGTCAGAGTTTTAATGATTTAAGTGTGACTGTCTGGAAGTTTGTTTACTGCATCGCTCAAATGTCTTTCTATTGTGCAGAGCTCTTCTTTTTACAAGCAACAGAAGAAGTGTAACTAATGTGAAAATGATGTGACTCTCATTTGAGTGTCTTGCATCAAGCTCGCGCACATTTTTGTTTGCTTTATTGTGGCGGGGTAGTCAGGAGTATTGTTTTGGAAAAGTTAAACAACTGACTCATTTATGGTTTACTGCGGTCAGCTGATGAAATGTTGAATGCTCAAGTTACAGCTTTGAAAAAGATTCCCGTCCCTGCGGGACATGTCCTGCTTATGGAGGTTGTGTGTGTGTGTGTGTGTTCCTCAGTGCTATGTAGGTGTTACGTAGGTGGTATGTAGGTGTCCTCCTGTGGCATGTGGACGATAGATGTTCCACACACAGGCCTCTTTTCTACTTTGTTGGAGTTATTTGGTGACTGGACTCGACACAGAAGAGTCGTGTGAAGAGTTAAGAGTATGTATGAGCTCACAGCTCTGACATTTGAACAGTCAGCGACAGACTCAGGAGAGGTGACTCTGATCAATGGAATAATTGTTACAGAGAGGTGAAGGTGAGCCTGAGGTCAGGCGGCTGTGTGTGTGTGTTTTCTATCTGGACACATGGCTGCACTCTGTTTTTGGTCGATGTTGTCGATCTTACTGCGGATAATAGACCTCAAAGCTTAAGTGCGACTCATTTTCTGTCTAATGAAAATGTATCAACTCATTTTCAGATTAATTTTATGTCCTTTAGTGCGGTAAAATCACAAACATAAGTTGTTTTGCAGCTGCTCCATAAATTTATTTCCTCCTTTTCACAAGTTTACATCATTTTAATCAAATAGAAGTTGTTAAAAAAGAAGTCTGCAGGCGTGACGTTTTACTCTGGTGACTTGTTGTGGGACATTTGCAATTATTATTATTTATATCACTAGTAACTGGCTGGATGCTTGAGAGAGAGAGAATCTTCATTTAAGGAATACTTCAGTCAATGTAAATGACAATATGTATATTAATTACTCTCCCTGTGCTTCATTGAATTCAGGAAGAAAACTTTGTTTTTCTCTCATGCCTCCACAGTGAACGAAGAATCCAAAGATGGTGGGCCACATTTAATAACAGTAAAACTATATTAAAACATCCGTTTACAAACTTTAACGCAACTTATTCAGTATTCAAGTCTCATTTATCCAGTCGCATACTTAGTACTTCTCAAACGTGCACTTTTGCTTAAACCCTGCTCTTTAAAACACTTTAAAGGGCATCCTTAAGAAGTCACAATTCATATTTACTTTTAAAAGGCTTTAAAATGTATTAAGTTGTCTTAAATTCAGATTGGATGTGTCTGTCTGTTTTTTTAGTCACGTCACCGCGAGGATTTCTGATGTTGGCACGACAGGAAACATCATTTTAACAGGAGAAAAACACACACGACAGGTTATCAGACTTTGACACAACAACACGTCACACGATGCCACTCGATGCATTTCGATGGAGCAGTCAGTTAAATCATCGTTAAACTCGCTGTTAGCCAGACTGCTCGTTAGTTTATTTTTATGAGAGGTAAGCGTAGAGAGTATCATCATCAGTTTATCTATACAGCACATTTCATACGACGAGCATTAACTCAGTATGCTTAAGATACATCATACATGACAAACATAAACTGTCATGTAAGATAATAAAGTATTACAGACATAAAAACAAGCAGGACATGATAAAAACAAACAAACAAGAGGGTGATATTATTATCATTATACTTAGAAAAGGGAAGATAATAACAATAATACTAATTCCTAAAACAAATAAAAATACACTTAAAAACTGAACTAAAAGCGTGTGGAAAAAAGGATTTTAGTTTGCTTTTAAAAGCGAACACTGTTGTCGCACCATGAGCTGATTGAGAGCTTATTTTAGGTGCAGTGTCATTTACCTTCGCGTTCATCTTCAACTAATATCAGTGTGTTTACTTGGAAAAAATACATTTTCACTTTTGGTATGTGTTTCGATCACAAGTTTGGTCTTACATTGAACTTAAAATGGTATTAAAAAGCACTTAAAAAGTCATTAATTAAATTTGTTTATATCTTTAGACGCCCTAAAACAATGCAGGCGCGCTACTCTTCTGTGCCAGTTTCACATGGTAAGGTTTTAGGGAGAATGCATGTGTTTGGGAAGTACTGAGCATATGACTGGATAAATGAGAGTTGGATTATACTGTCTGAGCTGAGTTTGTAAACTGAGGTTTTGATTTAGTTCTGCTACTGTTTAATACAGAGCCTGATGATTTCAGTTCTTCAAGAATATTTCTTTGTTCACTTTGGAGTCTTTCTTCAGGAATTCAACTTCACACAAGATGAGTAATTGATAAGCAAAATGGGCGTTTTGTGGATGAAGTGTTCGTTTAAAATGCTTAAACGCTGTTAAAACTCTCTGAATGTGCTTTGGACAAGTTACAAAATGGAAGTGTCACATCAGCGTATTTTCCTCATCTGCAGTAATGTGTGATGTGTCTCTATCTGGCTGAATGATCAGTAAAACAGAATGCAGAACAGGGCCATGATATGTGATAATTCTAAAGAGGTTTGTAACTTATCTTTCCTCACTTCAGACTCTGCAGACTCTTCTCTGTGCAGTGCTGCATTCTGGGGAACAATGAAGTAATGGAAGCACAAGTAGACAAAGCAAGCTGATGAAAACAAAAAGTGAAATTACAAAACTTGACCACAAATTAAGTTGGGGAACCTCTGATCGCCACAGGCTGACCATTTATGACAGTGTAAGAGTATTCAGGCGTGGAGTTTTCCTTTGAGATTTTTTTGTTGTGTGCTCTGTTGGCTGGATGTGTAAATAGGAAACCATCTTTATCAGGGTAAATAAGCTCTTTGTCAGCGCAGAGTGGAGGAGTTATTGCTTAAGACGGGGAATATATGAAAATGCCTGCGGTGGATGTCAGAGGGGAGCGGATAATGTACTCACTTTCAGAGTTTTTTATTTGTCCAGACAGTTGGAAAACAGAGAGGGAGACAACGTTCGAGGGGGATTTGATCCCAGGCCATCACTCTATTATCCGGCTGTAATTTGATATCTGATGCACACATACACACACACATATATATAGGCTAAAACACACACACACTCAGGCGCAGATAGAATAAGAGAGTATAGAGTAACCACATTAGGAGTGTGTTATCACTGCATCTTTCTGACATGTCATTTCAATTAGCAACCCTCCCCTCCAGAGTTTGGAGGCTGACTGACATCCTCACATACAGACCCTAATCACACACCACAGCAAAGGCTGTAATTTCAACCCCCCATTCAAAACACTGCACTGGAGGCACTCGGTGCTTACTTAGCTTAGCTGTAACTCGATGCAGACGTTGTTTGATTGGAAGTGTTTTCAAATCAATGCCTCTGGCAAGAGGGAACCAGCTGTGCACTCGCTCGTTGACGTGCATGCTGTAATTTGGTATAAATAGAGGCATTTCAGGGAACATCATCCCTTAAATACTTCACTGTTGACTTTGCATCCCGCACGTGCTTGAACTTCGACCCTGCCCAAACCAGCGCCCCACTCATCACCTAGTGTTTGAGGGAGATTAGGTTACTCGTAGCTTAAAGCAGACGCATTTGTGCCTCTTATTTCTGAGCTTGAGCTACTTGTTTGAGGTCTGCACTCAGATGAGATGGTGACAGGAAATATGACAAAAGTTGCATTGCTTCTCTGATATTTTCCATTGTCAAATAATAAAGTTAATATGAGGTTGTTGCTTTGATCCGGATTACAGAGAAGGCTGCTCGAATCACCAGAAACCAAATAATTGTAGAGGGAGCTAGAAGATGGATGCACATACACATTAGCACACAGTAGTCAAATCCTCCTCTGTGTTTGCACATGTGGCCTCGGTCAGTCCTCATTCTCTCGCTCCTGTTTACAAGTCAGTCCCTTTTTGTTTGTCTGTTTGTCCCTCCACCTCGCCATCTCTCACTTCCCCCCCGTCTTCACTAATTACAGGCTGTCAAGGAAAATCCGAGGTAATATTTCAACATCAAAAGGACCTCATGACGTGCTGCAGGCTGTCACTGTGTGCAAATGACAGCCTGGGCAGTGAGTGAGTTGTCACTGCCGACGTATCGGCCTGTACGGATGACATCGGCCTTTTATAGAACTCTTACTATCTGCTCTGTTGTTGTTTTGTAATTTGAATGTCTGTGGAGTGGAGTAACATGTTATCAGTGGTAGAAAATGTACATTTACTCAAATGCCATTTTCAGATCCTTTCACGACATTTCAGAGGGTACGATTATTTCATTACTCCACATTTGCAGCTCAGGAGGTAGAGCAGTTGTCCACCAATTGGAAGGTCCGAGGCCCTAGCAGTTGACCTGTCGAAGAGTCCTTGGTCAAGACG